AAATACTTTTTCCTCATCTTTTTGTGTTCCGATTCCTTCACCATAACACCAACCAAGATTAACTTGGCCTGTTACGTCGCCACCCTCTGCTGATTTCAAATACCACTCAAATGCTTTTTTCTCATCTTTTTGTGTTCCAATTCCATTTCGATAACACTGACCAAGATTATATTGTCCTGTTACTTTGCCACCCTCTGCTGATTTCAAGTACCACTCAAAAGCTTTTTTCTCATCTTTTTGTGTTCCGCTTCAATTTCGATAACACCAACCAAGATTACATTGTCCTGTTACGTTGCCACCCTCTGCTGATTTCAAATACCACTCAAATGCTTTTTTCTCATCTTTTTGTGTTCCAATTCCATTTCGATAACACTGACCAAGATTATATTGTCCTGTTACTTTGCCACCCTCTGCTGATTTCAAGTACCACTCAAAAGCTTTTTTCTCATCTTTTTGTGTTCCGATTTCATTTCGATAACACTGACCAAGATTATATTGTTCTGGTTACGTTGCCACCCTCTGCTGATTTCAAGTACCACTCAAATGCTTTTTTCTCATCTTTTTGTGTTCCGATTCCATTTTCATAACACCAACCAAGAATACATTGTTCTCTAGCATTTCTATCCTCTGTTGATTTCAAGAACCACTCAAATACTTTTTTCTCATCATTAGTATTTGATTCCATCTTCGAGCTCAGTGGAATAAAATAGGTGAATTGGTTAAAACAAACGATAATCGTTGTCGTTATACAGTTACGGGATTCATGTACATGTATGTAGTGATTCAAACTGTGTGACAAACTCGTGTGAGAGAATTAAGTGTTACCACAAAAACTTTCAACTTGCATAGTTGTTTTTTGTTAGGTTATTTTCTGTGCTAAGAAATGACATGCATATGATGTATTTTAAAAAGCTTTTCTGTAGATGCTTATGTAGAATTTAAATGTATATTTCTGTTAATTTTAAGAGTATGAATTTGATAAGAATTTTGCAATAATGTCTATGGATCAAGGAAATAACGTACGATACAAATATGATCTACTGACAATCAACATAATCTATGTTATTGAGAAATGTTCTACCTTAAAGTAAGCAGCTTTGTAGGAATTTTAGAAACGACTTCAAAATTGTTGCTACAAAGTAAGTATTTTATAGGGATTTGGTTCATGTGATGCGAGACAATAGGGATAACTATCTTTAATGTTTTTTCGTAATTAAGGATAAAAATAATAAGGCGTCGTTCCAGAATTTCGTAATCATGAGATTTTACGTTGCGACGACGATAGCACAATCGGGAATATTTTGCAGTTGCTCTGGGTAAAGCGAAAACTTTCCAAATTAATTTTTAAGAAACCGAATATTGAGCCGCGCGTATTTTCGAAACCTTATCGAGATAAGCTTCATATAAAATGTTTAATTAAAGTTTCACTGTGATATGGATACTGGATTTGTCAGATCATGAGAACCAATGCTTTATTACTTGTTGCCAGGTCTAATCTAATATATTTAAGAATATTGCCTGGAGATACATTCTAAATCTATGTTGAATATTGCTATAATCGAAATAACTACAGGAATTCCGATTCTGTGTAAATTTAGCCATTTCCGGTCACATGATACGGTTTCATATGCACCAAATTATAAAACCCTTTATTTTATTTAATTGTTATATATTCAATTTTTTTTAAATGGATTTAGAATTCGCTCTATGTTAAAAAAAATGAAAATTATTCACTGACAAATGGAAAATTGATTTGTAAGAATCAACATTGTTTTAAATTACAGTAATATTAAAACGAATTTGATATAAATATCTTAATAATTGAAAAATTTTAATAAATTTTTTAATAATAATTGTTCAACTATCATCCACAATTCAAGCTGCTATATGAATTAATCAACATTTTAATAAATTTTAACGTACATGTACATGTATTATTACTTTATATGCGTTTTTAGTACTGCATGAAAATATTTGTTTAGATTAGCTGGCCGATAAAATTAATCGTATTATTGTATAGCCGCATTTAATTATCCATTAAAACAGCATGATTTTATTTCAATACATTCTGGATCTATTTTAAAAAAATAATGCTTGCGTCATATAAATTAACTGCTTAAAAATAAAGAAAAGAATATCATTTAATAGAAATAATTACTAATACACACTTGATTAAATTCTAGGATATAAAGAAGATAACCCAAATAATAACGTAATCGCAAAAGTAAAGCTCAACCTAACAAATCTAAAGTCATAACAAGACCAAAAATTGATATACACTTTGTAACAAAGGAATAAAACCACAATTTTCGCGCAAGATTCGAGAGTATAAAGGCAATTCAATTCGTTATACTGTTCTAAATATATTCTTTATCTCATCAAGGAAGAAAATTCTTATATACATACTTAACTTTATTACTTTAAAACCGTGAAATACGAATATGGGCGTTATTTCAAAAATCACATCCTCTAAAAATAGCATACATAGTCTCGAAATAGCGACCATGGACGTCGCCATAATAACGTGCATCCATCATATAACCTTGGTAACCTTAATAAATTGCATTCTTTTAGCATAAATTCGATCTCGATACAGTCTCAACCTTTTTTTGTTATCATCATTCTTGAACCCGATTCCGGTCGATTTTGTAATATAAAGAAGCATGATGATTGGATGAAGTTTCTGCACCTCAAGTTTAAACGCGATAGTGTTACTCGTTTTGTGCTTATCGTTATGCTCACTTGTAAATAAAGCAAAAAACTTGCACGTGAAACAACAAAAAGTAACGATCACATTTTTATTATGGATGTTCGTGTAATACAAGAAAAAAGGAAAATGTAAAACAAACAACAGAAATATGAGGGAAAAATTAAATAAATAATGAAAAAACATAAATACAAGGAAATGAGAAAAGTTCAAAAGATTATATTTATATGATTTTATTTACTGTACATGTACAACGCACATAAACGTTATCTCAAAAATCAGGTTTATCAGAAATCGAACTTTTTGTCTCGAAATAACGCGCAGATGTGCGTTAACTAACTATTATTACGCTAAAAGTAGATTGTTAGATTTTCTATGATAAACGCCGTCGTTTAACATAGTTTGAGGCTGAAAAGAGAATTATCACGAGGAATCATGGGAATTTCAAGGGCTTGTAAATTGAAACAATGGTAAGATTATGAATTATTCCAATACTTTTTAAGATATAACATAAAAAATAATAATGAATTTGGCTATGCTATGTTAATTACAAATCTTGGACATAATAATATATAAGCGAAGAGGAAGGATAAAAGTGAAATATCATTCCTAAGTAAGCAACGCTGTGGATTGTGTGGCTAATTATGACGATAGGTAATTAGGGATTATAATAAAAATCAACGAATTTTATTTTGTTATGGTATCAATAGTTACTTCAGATAGTGTAACAATTGGTTTCTTTAACTCGTTTAACATACTAATACTTTCTATATACATGTACAGGTAGTATCACGTTGCATAATTCTAGTCTTTATTTGATCGTTGATATCTTTGTTTTTGCTAGCTCTATTCATTTTAGTTTATAATTATAAAATTTCATGGCATGCGCTGCATCTTATGTACAAACATAGATGAATTTAAGAATATGAAATTATATTAAACAAATATGTTATTCTGCCAAGTTGAAAAGCCAATCTTATTAGATCAAATATTTTTATTCATAACTTTCAAAATTAGTCTATCAAATATAATTACTATAATTTGTATGAAACGCTGAATCATAAAGGATTGCTTATTATTTGGTCATAGACTTTATTTACTATCAATTCTAGAACGTCAATGATATATTATTAAATAGCTCGAAAATTTGATAATTATATGTAACTGCAAATACATTTATTATTATATAAAAATATCGTTCGACAAAATAACATTTTAAATCAAAACCAATTTATTTTTCCATTAAAATTAAAAAGCATTTACATGTGTTTCTTCATAATTATGGTTTGATTCATTTTTTTCTTCTTTATTTTAGATATTAAATGCGTAAACAATTTAAAGCTTAATATAATACTCTAGAACTAGAAATGACTGTAAATTCTTGATTAAATTAACATGCCATCGCTACGGATGAACAATTCAGCATAATATACTCTGGAATACAATACATATATCCTGAACTGTACCATATTGAATCAAATGTACCCAAATAGCACATGTACATGTATATTTTTCGGATATCGATGTCTTAATATCAAACGGTGATCAGATCATCCGACAACTAAAAAAACTCTAAGCAGATAAATTTCATTTTATTCCATATACAGTAAAAATTCCGATAATAGACAAAAAATACAACAATGAAATTTTTGAGGTCCCTATGGGAAGTTTGAGTGGTGAGTCTAACGTAAAGTGGGGCGGAGATTCTATAAAAACTTACATAACACATTCATGAATGTCGAATTTAATATTATATCTCTTTACTTAATATAAAACACTACATTTAATAATGCTTCTGAAAATTTGTCTCTTACACATCGATCTCAAGTAAGAAAATGTTTTATCAAAATTTACCTTAAAATCTATGATTAATTTTCTGCCTTATAAATTTATAAGAGGAGGCACTCTCATTTTAGCTTCAATTGGTGCTGTGAGTATTTATCGTATATTCTCGAAGAAAAATGAATTTGTAGTGAACATATATAATTTGCATTTTCTAAATTATAGATAATAAATCTCCTCCATATCTGGAGAATTTTATACCTAACTAGTGAAAGGTTTGGAACTGGTTACTTGGTCATGACAACTTACTGTCTAACGATTAGTTTTATTTATATTATTGGTTTTGTCGGTGTATTGAAGGTGAATTGAGCAGCTCGTATTGGAAAACTTTTTTCTTCATTATCATGACAGTATCTTCTGCGCTTCAAAATATATTTAATGTAAATAATTATTTCAGAGCAAACACATTTATGTCAAAATATTAGCATACTATTGCGGGATATATTTTTTTATGGGACTACTTTCAATCGTATTCTCAATATTAGCATTCCACTACGAAAGAGATCTATGTCGGATGCTGACTAAGCAACAAGATATTGAAGAATGTATGAAAGTTTATATACAGACTGTTTTGTCTACAACGATCTTCTTAGGAATATCTACTTTATTTCAGGTACTTTCATTTTAGAACTCGTTTTCTATAGTTCGCTAAAAGAAATGTGATAGTTCTTGTTACTAAACAATGTTGCCGTTCAATAGGTTCATTTCTGTCTCGCTATATGGACTTATTATCAGAAACTTCGCATCGAACATGATAGAATCGTTCCTGATGCTCGCTACAGTTATGCTCCACCAAATCTTGCAAACGTTATTCCTCCCCCTACTTATGGCTCAATTCCTGTACCTGTGTAGGTTCAATCTCCGGATAATAAGTACATACTGTACATCTTCTAATTAATCATTGGATTTTTTTAGCTGAAGCTTGCTTACTATTTTGATATTCGTTGTTTACTTTCTCGAACAAATGAATACTATATAGGATAAAAATAAGAATGTTACATTGTGTATTTATTATAATTGTTTATTGAGAATTATGATTGGCTTAAATTAATATTATTAAAGTTTTTGAGGCAATCACATGTTAGTAAATTTTAACTTAGATATCGTTAGTATATTTCATCTAGGATTAACTCGGTCTAATGACTGATGATACTGGACCGTTCTAGGAAACAAACTATTTAGAACACTAATTATGTATAGCTAACATTTTACGTATAGAATGCCTAGGGATCTGGAAACGATGGCAAATATAATATATATATACCAAGTAGCAGCAGAGGAGGTGAAAACAGAAAAGTGGATAATGGGAATTCACAATGTCATACATTGATAAAGTACAACGTAATCGTCAATATAACGGACGAGTCGACACAATTTCAGAAATCTGTCATATTAACAATTTATTAATAAAGCCGGAACATCTGCGGCAACTGTTCTGGACCACATTTTGTTATATATTTGTTCATCAGTTATCTGTTTCTTTTGTTTCTTTGTAGAAAGTTTATAAAATCTTCCTTATTTGAATGTCTATAACTGTACATCCATTATCGTTAAATTTCGAACCAAGGCGCTAATATTTGATTAATGATTTTAAGTTTCTCAATAACTGTGCAAGTATTATTTAAATTCCTCCATATAGAACTTGTCATTAAGCATATTCATTAATTGGATTCGACTTGAATCGTAACTGCCATTTTATTTACAATAAACACTGCATATAATTGGCTAAATTGCATTACTATTCTAATGAGATCGATATATTAGCTACTGTACTACTACTTCTATAAGCTCGTGTTGTTCTGGTGCAATTTACCTAAAACATCTATTATTATGAGCATAATAATGAGTTTGGTGTGTTATTTTTGCAGCATACGTGTATAATGCGGATTGTCTTTCGTCGACGTCCTTGAATTTTTGATAGCTTTCTTTGAAGAAATACAAACTTTTGGTATTCATGAACAATTCTTTTACTGTAGGACGATCATCGGATTACCTTCATCAACCGATTTGGAAGCATCTTTAGGAATTCCTGGTCGTTACCATCACAAATTACGCATTGAAGGAATGGATTGAGCAAATACTTTCCACAAAAGGAAACTTACCGAACACACTCAACTTACACATCAGAATTCTAATGCAATAAATATCAGAAGTCTTTGAATCTGATTAACCTTAGAAATTCTCAGATGCTGTCTATTGTAATACGCCATAAGTAAAGTGTCACGTTCTGTAAATATATCATGTACAATGATCTTCAAAAAATTCGAAATTTTGACCTAGTGTTATCATACAAAATTCCTTATGTTTCCGAGGTCGAGCATAGGTTTCGTTTCCAATAGAACACCTCTTTAATCCACAATGCAGCGAAATAAGCTAATCTTTTGAAAGCCATAGCGTCCGAACTTCTTACTCATCAATATATTCCTCATCGAAAATCTGTGGGCAATATTAAAGAAAAATTAGAAAAGAATTATTTGTTGAGTATCATTGGTGTTTAATATTATTTGCAAGATTTGTTGCTAATATCATTGAGTAAATTATTATTCAGGCTTTCTTTTATTTTCTTGCTTTTGTCATGATCATCTATCATAGATTTGTGTTTCTATTTCACAAGAATATTATATAAATTATAAAAAAGTAAAATTATTATTAATATGAAAATGTTTAGAATGCTCAAAAATGCAAATTTGTTTAATTTTCTATATCGTGTTATTATAAAGTATTTGAAAAGAAAAAAAGTGATACATAGTTTTAATAAAATTATACACATTTATTAAAAAAGAACAAAGGGAATTTATAATTTTTGCTATACAAAATCATGATTTCTGTAATTTCTGCAGCACAAAATTTGATCTATGAAATCTGCAAGATACAGAAAATCATCATTCTTATATACTATACACAATTTATTTTCATTACACATTGATCTTATGATTTGGTTGATTTACATCATAAAAAAACTCAGGATCCGCAATATTTTTTTCATTATCGTAGGATTTGATAATAATGCAACAGACCCTTCTTTTATCATAATAACACAAAAAGCAGTACTAATCTTAAGTAGAACATCGACTCTAGGATTATTTTAATCCTATTAGCTAGTAGATTAGTGTTCCTTTCAAATTTTCTATTTTTAATTTACATCTAGTATCTTTTTTGAATTCTGACATGATGCGTATATAAGCAAGGTATTCTCATCTCTTTATTATTTTAAGATAACGCATAATATACACATCCTATTTCCGGAATAACAAAAATGAAAGTATCAAAATCTAGTGATCCAATTTAATAAAAATGCTCCATTGAATTTGTCCTGTCTTCATAAATTCAATGGAGCATTTTCATTTAAATTGGATACTTTCATTTTTGCTATTTCCAGTAATATATTGTAAGGATGTATATGAGGATTAAAGATGGAGAAGTTTAAACTATGTTCAAAACATTGCTATTTTTAATTAGAATTTAAATTAATTATTATTTTGATAGTTATCAGTCCGAAGACTTATCAGACCTAAAATGAGAGTTCTTTCTTCTCTGATGAATCAATCAGTGATCATTGTACCGCTTTGGTTATTCGGTACAGAGGATAATTTTTATTCTAAAAACCACTCCGGCCATGAGGTTGGATATCATGAGGTATATATAATTGGTTCGGAGAGTCCTCAATTCATCGTATTTCTTTAGATATTTCGCACAAAGGATTTTTAGATATAGGGGTATATATAACTATTAATTACTAAATAGCCATCTTTTTAAAAACCCAATACTATTTTTTTGGATCGCAAATTTGGAATTAACCGTCTCGTGGTGCATCTGGATTAATAACTAATAAGTTCCAATATCTAAAACCTGAATGACGAAACCATTCATTCGTTAATCCCAGGAGCAAATCGTAAGAGTAAATACCTAAAGATGAAGCAATTAATACATGTACTTACATACTATTGCATTTAGATAAAGGAGAGAACTTATAATGAGGTCCAGTATCACAATCCCCGACAATTCATAAACCCGAGAAATGAAAACCCAAATTAACATCCCATAATGATCGTTGCAGAAATGCCCACTTTTTTCCTTTTTAGGTTGAATGAATCAGACCTCGTGGTTTATGCAGCGACGACGTTGCATATTTTTATGAAACGTGAATTACATGTAATATGTAATGATAAGATTTTGATATGTAACGGTAACACTTAATTCTCTCATGTATTCACACACGAATTTGTCACACAGAGTTTGAATCACTACATACATGTACATGAATCCCGTAACTGTATAACGATAACCATTATCGTTTGTTTTAACCAATTCACCTATTTTATTCCACTGAGCTCGAAGATGGAATCAAATACTAATGATGAGAA